GTCAAACTGCTCCAACTACTACCCTCCTCCCACGATTATGTGCTACAGTCTGAATCTTTAGATAAAAAACTGCAAGAAGGGTCAGCACAGTCTGATAATCTCGTAATTTCCCATGGTGTCTGCTCAGTTTTACGTAAATCTTCAAGATAGCCGTACAAAGCACGTCGTCGTAATGCTCTTCTTGATGGGGCTTCCACGTACTGAAGAAAACAGCAAAAAAACAACAGTTTATCGAATTTACAGTCACAGTAACGAGAGCTCGCTTGTGCGTCTTATCAGCAGATAGCGCCACGTCACAATGGCGTCCGCCGCGCGTGTAAGCATGCAAAAATCGATAAGCCAATCATCTATCGATTACGTAATTATCCCAACCAATGACAATCAAGCACGCGTGTAGCTCGTGTTTGCGTAGTACGATAATGCGCATATGGCTATTAGGGATCCTGATCCTGTATGATCTTCTTGACCCCGTGTGAAGGTGGAGAGTGTGCTTGGCGTTTGCTACGCCTACTAACACTAGCATATACCCCCTGATCTCCAGTCAGCTTCCCTGCACCGACCTGTTTGGTGCATATGGTGGTTTTCATCAAAATCGATGGCTGAACACTGTATTCCGACTAACTGTCGTTGCAAGTAATTTGCAGTTGGCGATTTGTTTACGTCTACTTCCTGCTCGTTTGCGTATACAAACGCATGTCCGTAGTAAATGACGCTTTCCTCCAGCTAAGTGCCTGTTGGACCCGACCTCCCCCAATTCTTGTAATATGTCTGCGCGACGTGAGCGTCACATCATCCGCCCACGTCTCAGACTCTGCCACAACCGCTTTTCCATTCCTCCACCAAGGTAAAATGACGTGGTATCCACCTCTGTTCGGTGGCTCACCAGCTGATGATGCGATTGGTGTCGTTTACTCACGAATTGCCTATCGGTCCGTGCGACGGCGGGAATGAGCGGCGGATCTTTGTGTTTACACATCCATGCACGGTTGACGCAATCCGTTTTGTTCGAGCTTGCCGTGCCCCCGTCATTGTCTGGTTGTAGACAATATGCAGTTCGTGCACTATACTCTTGTCCTTATTTATACAATCTAATTCTCCTCCTCCTCCTCCTCCTCCTCCTCCTCCTCCTCATTTTAGGCATGAACACCCGGCAAGTTAGGCAGGAAGTGGAGCGTGGGTACCGAATGCCGAATCCACACACTCCTCAACATCCCTGTCCGAACGCCCTCTACGAAATTATGCTCTCCTGCTGGGACGCTGTCCCCGAAATGAGACCAACTTTCAGCCACCTCTTCGCCACCTTTGACAGTTGGGAGGTGCAGGTCGAAGGTCAATATGTTGATGACGCTGTCTAGATGATGATGATTATGCCCGCTTCCCTGTATCCCCTCACCCTTGTTTCCGATCTCTGCAATACTAACCCCAATCAAAGTTGCCAGCTTTTCTTACTTACAAATTGCATCATGCTTTAGATAACTGATACCAGACCCCCCGCCCCAGCATCTGTACATTGTTCCTCGCGCCTCCCCTCCTTCCTCCTGACCAACATCACGTGATTTTAATGATTTTGCCCCGTTCAAGGTCGCCCTGGCTGTGTGCACCTCATCTCGGAGAGATCGTTACTCAAAGCCCGCGTCCTATGCCCCCTCCGCCCACCCAGGGATATTATAACGTCTTCCTGGCATTTCGGATACGAGCCAACTACAAATTCACCTTATCCCCACAGCTGACCTATCGTTTTTTTTGCGACTAATTTGCTCTCCTTTTTTTTACTTTCACTCCGGAATAGCTTGGCGGGCTCCTGCCACTCCAAATTAGTGCATTTTATTATTTCGCCGTACAATCTTTCCCCTCCACGGTGCCATTTTCGACCACCAGGAGATAATATTTTTATGTCTTTTACCCCTTTCTTCTGGGAACTCGGCCAACATTTTGCGCACCAGTTTATTGATGTTGGTCATTTGTATTAGACGATGGTCATTGTCACATTGGGTTGTTTGTGTGGGGTCAGGTTCTGTGTGACACGCGCAGACGGGCTATTTAGCCCTTTCGAGTAGTTGTGGCCAATCGCTGCACTAACTGACTAGGGGGGCTCGAACAGCGAACTGCTGCCTGGAAGGGAGAGTACTGTTGGCTGTGGGGGCTGTGCCACCACGGCTTTCAGGGCGCAGTTCGGTTAGAATTACCTGTGTTGTGGGTTAAAAATACACGGGAACCAGGCGCCAAATTTTGGGAGAGTTAGGTTTAGGATTAAGGTCAGAACTGGGGTTCTGGTCGGGTATGCGTTTGGGACCGTGTAAGCTCTGGGGTTTAGGAGAGGGAAGGGGTGAATTTCAAGGCTACAGTTTAGTTTCATATTGGTATTGGGGGTTAGGACACAGGAATATTTACGTTCCCTGAAATTAATCGCAAGGATACTTATTTTAGATGTTTGGGGGTGGGGGCGGGTTTTCCTATTGTCGGGTCCTGTTTAGGAAACCGTGCAAGCCATCCTTGCCCGCATTTATCCTTATAAACAATCTGAAGCGGCGTGAACTTATGACGAAGCCCTGAAAGCCTTGGCTTAGAATGCTGCCCTCTGACCGAGTAAGCCAATCTTCTCGGAAAGGATAGTCAGGTTGCAGTTACTCCTTGCTGAAGCTTTCCCTCATTTAGGACTAGATTCACTTCTTTTCCTGTCTCTGTGCAAGAATTCAATCAATTGTGCGCATTTATGTAGTACGCGTAGAGGGGGGAAGAGGTTGCTAAGATTTACCAGGCTCTTGTATTCTGAACCGGCTTTCAATCCCGACTCCGGTCGCCTTACGTCTGTCTTCACACCGGGTTCAAGCGGATGAGTAGTTGTGCCCACATTGCTGTGCGGCACGCCGTGTAGCCATTCCATAGTTTGGCTTTCTTGATTGGCGCGCCGGAAGAGGTTCAGTACTTCAACTGTTGAGTCTAACTTG